ACACCTTAATCCACAAATTCACAGAGGAATTGGCTAATTACATTGTCCAAAAGGACAAGAAAGAACTGGATTATCATCCTCTTCCAGAGTGTCCTTGGAGGCAAATGTAGGAGGAAGGAGGAGAGAAGGGGGCACAGGGATCAGGGACCTGCACCGGCTTCCTGGACAGTCTTGAGGGTGAGGCTCTGGGTGGGTCCACAGTCAGGGCACCTCAGCCCAGGCTCTCACACCCGAGTGCCACGACCCTCGGTGGCTGAGGTCAGAAGCAAAGTGGAACCAGGAGCCAACGCCAGGTGAGCCATCCCCACCCACCGGCACACACTGTCTGGAATGCCCAGGGGCACTGGGCACCGGCCTGGCCTTGGTATGTGAAGAAGCAGCAGGCGACCTCAGTGAACCAGCACCAAAGGAACTTAGCAGCAAGATAAAATGGCAAGTCACAGTCAGATTGGGTTTCTAGGACACAGGTGTATTCTTACATTCCTGATTTATGGACTTGCATTCATCCTTGCCATGAAACTCAGAGAAGCTACCACACACAGGGCGTCCATGAGGCTGAGCTGGGGCGGGGAGAATGCTGGTCCTTCAAGCCACCAAGGCATTTATAATCTTGCAAAGAGCAACAGTTTCCATTTGTAACTGAGTGCATGGCTCATGCTACGCTCTTTGTAAGTAGATCTCATTTAACCATTTTGTCCCATCATCCCAGGAGGAACTTGCAGAAAACTTAAATACAGCCAGACGTGATGGGGCATGCCTGTAAATCCCAGTGACTCGGGAGGCTGAGGCAGGAGGATCCTGAGTTCAAAGCCAGCCTCAGGAACTTAGAGAGGCCCTAAGCAACTCAGTGAGACCCTGTCTCTAATAAAACATAATAAAAAGACCGGGGATGTGGCTCAGTGATTAAGTGCCTTTGGGTTCAATTCCTGGGACCAAAAACTGTAAAGATTTATAAGAGTATAATAACATAATTATAAATAACAACTGATATATTCAGTAGGCTCTAAATTATGACTCCCAACCTTATTTCAATGCATCTATGTCGATTCCATTGCAATATTGCAGTAAGAAACACACAGGATTTAATGGGGTCACTGCATCTTCCTCGCCAAGGCCTTTGAGATTCAGAGATTCAGAGTAGGCAAGGGACTTTCCCAAAGATGCACAGTTAGTGTGCATCCTTGGGACCTGGATATGAAGCAGGGTCAACCCGACTCCAGAGCCTGTTTCCCTTCTTGAAGTTAGAGTTCCTTTTGAGGAGGGGCCAGCCTGAGTGCCCTGCTCTGATCATCTAGCATCCACTGGCTTCAGACATTGGCTCATCTTTTCCAAGAGCCGGGATGCAGTTCAGTGCATCAACCGTCTCTAACTTGGAGTCCTCTGTGGTCATTGGTAGATGACTGAGGCTGGCCAGGAGACATCGGCCAACATGGCTCCGTGACCCTGGGACCCATGGCCTTGGCTGGACCTATCCAGGCCAGCCGGCCAGCTCCCCTCAACAGTCAGGATCTCTCTTAGCAGCCACACCTTCTACACATGCATCAAAGAGGTGACAACTGATTTGGGGGGAAATTCCAACTTTAAATCTACGTGCAAAAGGAAAAAGTTGGTTATTAACAAAACATAAAAAATTTTTTATAGAGGAAAAACCTCCGAGAGCTGCTTTGCTCTGATATGCTCTGGGTCCTAAGGAAGCAGGAAAAAGTCTCCTGGAAACTTCCTAGGACCAGCACACGGAAACGGAGTGGATGCTGGTCAATGAAATGCTAACGGTCCTACGGATTGATTGACTGCACAAACATTGAGATTGACTGCACAAACATTGAGAATGAGACATGCACACTCATAAAGGCTGCAAGACAGCCAGCTTCTGTTCTTTGATTCTGTGCAGATGATGAAACCAAATCTCAAGCCCCAGATGGAAGCACATTGGGCCCCAGGTAGCAATGGAAAACCCARAAATTTAAAGAAGAAGGAACTAATGGCTCTTCTTGGGTGCCTTTTCTGAAGACTAAACCTCGCCCCACTGGGTTACACGACCATCTACCWCCCGTGTCCTCGTGAACCGCAGAACCCAAGACCCCTAGAAATAACTGGGAGGACCATGTCCCGTTTTGCAAACGGGGACATCTGAGATTCCGAGGGGTGAGGTGGCTTGTTGAGGACGGGCACTTGTTAGAACACGTGATCTTAGAAGTTCAACTAGGTGGGGAAGGTTTTGACTCAGGGACCAAGAAGGTGAGGTTCCAGCTCCAGGGCCATTAGTGCCTCTCTTTGTAAAGTCTAAACGTTGGACTCAACCGTTTTGAAACATCCTTCCCTCTCCAGAKGGGCTGACTGGGTGCGCGTGAGCATCTGCTATCTGCTTGCTGGTCGTCTTGACAAACTCAAGGGCTTTCTTTCATTAAGAGGCAGACTTTGTGGTGGTGGCAAGGGTAGGCTCTGAACTCAGGCTTTTTGTCTGGTGATCCCAGCTCTGATGCGTATGGGTGGCAGAAAGCCAGAAAACAGGAAGCCTTCTAAGCCTCATCTGCAAAGCAGAGGTTGTAAGAGCATTTACCATGCACGGCCAAGACGATGCTTAAATACCAGTGGCCTGGGGCATGGTGGCACGTGCTMGGTAATTGGAGCCTGCTGTTGCCATCACCGTAAAGCGCCCAGGGAATGTGCCCSTGTAGGTTACAAGAAGACAGAGGCAGCCCAAATGCTGAGGCCCAAATGGCAGGATCTCCGCTAGGACTGTGTCTGGCTGTAAGGAAAGGCATCCAGAACATTTCCCACCTTCCCTTGCTAAGAGTGGTAGCCAGCGCTCTGTGCTTGTTATCGCATAGGGCTTCTAGGAAGCTCTTCTGAGAGGTGCTGGCTTAGAAACACTCATTCTTTCCCTCCGCTCCTTTCTGTGTGGAATGCAGAAGCAATGGCTAGATTGTCTGCAGCCTGTTTTGATCATGAGGGAAGGGCCAAAAGCCTTTCAGAGATTCAGTCCTTCAGCTAAATCAATCAATGCCAGCAACCACGGACCTCCACTTCTCTTGTTTCATGAGGAAACTAAACCTGTTTCCACCTTTTTGCTACGATCAAAATGCAATTCCCAACCCAAACACCCTCCACAATGTACTTCTCATTTCTGTCCACATATATTTGTGGGTCTGCTCAGCCAGCCACTTGCCCTATCCGCTTGGGGGTTCTGAGAGAGGTGCTCACTTAAGACTCTTACAACAATTTCCAAATAGTTCTCAAAGGCCAAGATACCTAAGGGGAAGACAATGGCTTAGCAGCTTTAGTGTCACCAAGGAGCTTGTCAGAAATGGAGAGCATTCAGGCCCATGCTAGACCTACTGAATCAGCATTTACATTTTAACAGGATCCCCAGGGACTTTGGGGGCACACACAGTTTGAAGCACACTGCCTGAAGCACAGCTCTAAGGATATCACTCTCCCCCCAAACCTTCAATGGCCCCTTCTTATTTACAGACTAAAGTTTGGACTCCCACGTAGCCTGACATCCAAGGCCCCTTGTGATCTTGCATGGTCCCAGAAATGGCCATCAAAGTGTCCGTCATGCATGTCTTATTGGACAGGCAAGAAATGATTCTCTGTATATTAAAAAAAAAAAAATGAGTACCTGAGAAACACCATGTTCCTTGATTCTGGCTTTACCATGCTGCACACTGGCAAAACAGTACAACCCAAACACACACAAACACACACGCAAAAACAGTCAGACATGGTCCCCTGCCTTCAGGAAGCTTGGAGACTTGTAAGAAGAAATAAAAACACCTGACAAATTCTAAGAGCTGGAAGGAAATGAASAGGGCTGCAGGGTGACCCTCGCTGGTCAGAAAGATGGCCCTAAGGCTAGGAACCGGGTGTGGAGCTGGTCCAGTGGGACTAGCGCCCTGCAGGGGCTGAGGGGCAGAGCAAGGGGCTGCTGGCTCAGGCTTACCCAGCAAATAGATACCCGGGGAGGAAAGTAGCAGGTTTCACTTAGGAGAACAGGCTGGGTCTCTTTCCTGGACGTCTGTCTGTCTTCAGCGGGCTCACTGATGTAACTCGGAGTGCGCAGGCTGCAGAGTCGCTGGGAGTCCAGCCCTGGAAATCCAACCAAGTGAGATTGGCATCCCAGCACTGCTGCTCCTCGGCTCTGCCCGCCCCCCTTGCCCCTGATGTCCCTTGTCAGGGATACAGCGGGGTTCGGAATGCAGCCAACTCCGTAGTTATGGTTGGGGGGACGCTTGTGAAGCTCCCAGCACACTGCCACCCACAGCAGGGCTCCCGGGAGTCCCAGCGGGTTTGGGATTCCCATGAGTGTCACCACCGTTGATTACCACCAGCTTTCGGAGGGTAGCTGGTCCCCGTGCTCCCGCCCCCGAGGCCTCCCCGACCCCACGGTGCCGGGCGGCCTCCCCCGCTCACGCCCGGGTGACCCCGGCGCGCCGCCGCCGCCAGACCCCCGTTACCTGGGGCCAACCGCGACTTGTCGCCACCTTGCGTCCTGGGTCCGGCCTCCCTCCCGGCCACCTCCGGGCCCGCAGCTGTCGCAGCGGCGCCCCCAGCCCGGCCGGGCCCGGGCGGCGCGGGATGCCTCGGCGGGGCTGGCGGCGGCCGCGCGGCGCGCTCCGGCGCAGGGGAGGGGGCTCGGCGGCGGCGGCGGCGGCGGCGGCGGGCCCGGCGGGGGGCAGAGCCAGAGGCGCGGCGGCGGCAGCGGCGGCGGCGGAGGAGTGAGGAGCATGCGGGGGGCTGCGGGGGGCGGCGCGGGCCCGTCCGCAGCGGAGGCCGCTGCGCCCGGGGCGCGGGGAGTGGCCGGGGCCTCCTGCGCGCACCATGGCTGAGATGGCGGCGGCGGCGCGGCGGCGCGGGCAGCCGGAGCGGGGCCGGCGGGGCGCCGGCTGAGCCCCGGGCCCGGGAGGCGCCAGGGCCGCGCGGCGGCGGCGGCGGAGCGCGCGGGCGGGCGGCCTGCGGGGCGGCGAGGCCAGGGCGGCCCCGGCGCGGAGACCGCGATGGCGAACGCGAGCGAGCCGGGCGGCGGCGGCGGCGAGGCGGCCGCGCTGGGCCTCAAGCTGGCCACGCTCAGCCTGCTGCTGTGCGTGAGCCTCGCGGGCAACGTGCTGTTCGCGCTGCTCATCGTGCGGGAGCGCAGCCTGCACCGCGCCCCGTACTACCTGCTGCTCGACCTGTGCCTGGCCGACGGGCTGCGCGCGCTCGCCTGCCTCCCGGCCGTCATGCTGGCGGCGCGGCGGGCGGCGGCCGCCACGGGGGCGCCGCCGGGCGCGCTCGGCTGCAAGCTGCTCGCCTTCCTGGCCGCACTCTTCTGCTTCCACGCCGCCTTCCTGCTGCTCGGCGTGGGCGTCACCCGCTACCTGGCCATCGCGCACCACCGCTTCTACGCCGAGCGCCTGGCCGGCTGGCCGTGCGCCGCCATGCTGGTGTGTGCCGCCTGGGCGCTGGCGCTGGCCGCGGCCTTCCCGCCGGTGCTGGACGGCGGGGGCAGCGGCGGCGACGACGAGGACGCGCCGTGTGCCCTGGAGCAGCGGCCCGACGGCGCCCCCGGTGCGCTGGGCTTCCTGCTGCTGCTGGCCGTGGTGGTGGGCGCCACGCACCTGGTCTACCTCCGCCTGCTCTTCTTCATCCACGACCGCCGCAAGATGCGGCCCGCGCGCCTCGTGCCCGCCGTCAGCCACGACTGGACCTTCCACGGCCCCGGCGCCACCGGCCAGGCGGCCGCCAACTGGACGGCGGGCTTCGGCCGTGGGCCCACGCCGCCCGCGCTGGTGGGCATCCGGCCCGCGGGGCCCGGCCGCGGCGCGCGCCGCCTCCTCGTGCTGGAGGAGTTCAAGACGGAGAAGAGGCTGTGCAAGATGTTCTACGCCGTCACGCTGCTCTTCCTGCTGCTCTGGGGGCCCTACGTCGTGGCCAGCTACCTGCGCGTGCTGGTGCGGCCTGGCGCCGTCCCGCAGGCCTACCTGACGGCCTCCGTGTGGCTCACCTTCGCGCAGGCCGGCATCAACCCGGTGGTGTGCTTCCTCTTCAACAGGGAGCTGAGAGACTGCTTCAGGGCCCAGTTCCCCTGCTGTCAGAGCCCCCAGACCACGCAGGCCACCCTCCCCTGCGACTTGAAGGGCATCGGCTTGTGAGGGACTCCCCGCCTCCGCACCCCTGACCCAACCCAGCATCCCCTTCGGCTTGGACAGTGACCTCGCTTCTCCCCGCCCTGTCCGGTCCCCTTTTTAATTTTCGAAGCTGCCTTCCAAACGGACTCTCAAAGTGGACACCCACTTGGATTGTACAGACTCCTGTTTGGGGGGCGGGGGAGGGGCAACTCCGCACACTCGTCCTCCTCAGCGTCCTTTCTTCCTGGGACAGCCCTGCAGTCCTTTTGTACTGGTTCTGACTTTTCTTTCACATCTGCATTTTTTTTTTCCAATAAAGGCTGATTTTCTTCATGCATTTTCCTAAAGACCACGGCCAGTTTTCTACAGAAGCTATTTTTGACAAGCTCAAGTGGCATCGCAGATTGCAGTGAGGTAGACAGAGGTGAGGGGCTTCACGAGTCGGCTTCCTTGGGTGTCTTCAGTTGGAAGTAGGAGGAAGGGGGAAAGGTGACCTAAGGGCTGTCTGGACTGCCAGCTCAGCGTCAGTTGCGCAGTGGGGTTCTTCCAAAGCTTAAGAATTTAGTTCAATGTTGACATTGAACTTGACAGAAATCGGAGTCAGTAGGCAGTGTTGTTTTTTTTTTTTTTCTTTTTTAAAGCAGTAAGTAAGGACTTGGTTCCTAGTTTATACTAAATACACAGCAGCCGCAGCTGCTCTCTGTATTATATCAACCTTGAATGGAAACGTCTCAGTGACATTGTAACTTTCAAAAGAGTACAAAGTGTTTTGGTTAGTGAAGGTGTGGAGAAAATACAGTGTTGCATGCTTTTGTATGTATCCATTGTGGCTCAAGGATGGTGGGGCTCTGGAAGCCAAGTAAATCATTTGGGTATTTTTTGCCAACAAAAAAGTTGAGATACTTTTATGGAAATGGCTTGTGCTTTGAGAAGCCGGGTTTTATTCTGTCTTACGAAACTAATTTCCACTTTGAAGATTGTTCTGTTGTTCATGAAATAAATGAATGAAACATAATGCTCCACTACTTCTAGGAGATGAGCGTTTTCTTAGTGTTTGCTAGGTGAAGCTGTGCTGTTATTCTGATGGTTATTTTCAATTAATAACCAGAATTGTCATTTTAAATATTATTTCTCTGTTAGATGTAATTTAAAACTGGAAGAAAACATTCTGCAAGTACTGTATAATATTTTTCGCTTAAACTGCTATGTTTTTATCAACGTATCTTCCGTTTTGAGGGTTTATATCTGTATTTCTCTTTGCATTACATGAATATACCAGTATTTTCACTCTGGAGTGGTGGTGGTGTTCTTTGAGGCTGGGATTGGTACTACTTCGAGTCTTGTATTGTCTGTTGCTAGTTCCAGTTTTCCTAGTTTGAGCATCAGCCTTCCAACACATCTGGAGACCTTTTGACTTCAAAGTGCAAGGTAAAATTCTGCACCATTTCTCTTTAAAGGGAAGAAATAGTAAACATATATAATGCTTTAAAACTCTTTCACAAATGAAAAGCACGGGCTGGGGTTTTGCTCAGCCCTCTGTTCCATCTCCCGCACCGGAAAAACGTTAAGAGTACGCTGATAAATAATAAATGAAAATGTGTATGAGCAAAGCAATCATTTTGATAAAAATAATAAAAATTTTTAAAATGAGCACAGCAAATATACTGGGATTTATTCTGAATGTATTGCTAATGATTAAATCTTTAGTCCAAAAGGAATAAGTGATATGGGGATTGGCCAGTGTATTCACAATGGGCAGCACTGTCTTATTTTGTTGGCCAAAGTTAAGTCAGGCTGTGAAGACGGTCATGTTTGGAAAATGTGATAATGATTACCCCTAATGTCTCCTGTGTCACAAGTCCAGGTGGCCCTCAATCATCCGGGGGCCATTCTTCAGACATCAGGACCAACCCAGAGGCAGAGTGTCCTGTGAAGTAAATCTCTGCCCATCTAAACCTCCACCCACCCCAGCGACCCCAGTTCATCAACGCCACCGAGTCCCCATGAAGACAGTACCTGGTACAGCACAGGGACCAGCTGTCACAGACTGTCCTAGGACGATGCTCCCTGGCCTTGCTTTTCCAAATGGCTTCAGGATGTGAGCAATCCAGGCTTCTTGCTGGGGAGTGCTGAGGGGGGACCTAGGAGGAGCACTGTGAGCCAGCTCCTCGGATGGCGGGGACCACCTCTGGGCCTCGGGCAGATGGGATCTCCTTTAGACAGCCTGTGTCCCAACTCGGTTACCTTGGGGGTTTTAACATATAAAAAAATCTGATTAGATAGGAGAAGGCAAGTTTTTTAGTGAGAATTCGGTGGAGAGCAGCAAGAAATAGCGGCCAAAGGTGAGGGAAGAAGAAAGAGTTGAGAGACAGGGAAATGAACTTTCCAGGAAAAAGCCGTGTCAGGCTTTTATGCCCCCAACCTCAGCCACTGTCAGGACCAGTGAGTCTACCAGTGTGCACTGTGGTTGCTGATTACAGTACTCAGAAGTCACCAAGGAAACGTCGGTTGTGTCTGGAAGCCTCTGCCTGCTGTCTCGGGACAGGCCATGTATCTAAATATGTCAAAATAGCTTGTTTATTTGGGAAGTTAACTTAGCATATGCCTTTCCTCTAGAGCGAGATAAATGAGTGATCCGTTACATTTGAAAAAAAAAAAAAAAGAGAAGCCTATGAATAAATCTTCATCTGCATGTCCTGGTGTACAATTATTTGTTTTAAAATGAGTACTTTTAGGCATTTAATACCTTATATTAAATAGAGTTGCAGAAAGACTTGATCTTTTAAAGTGTATATCTGGTATGTTCAGGGTTTGTGTGTGTGTGGGGGGAGGGTGGGTGTGAATTTACTCATTGACTTAATTCATATTGTGTTCAGGTTTTAAAAGATAAGACATTTCAAGCAAAACCAGGAAGCCATGTAGCAATCCATGATCTCTGTTATCTACTACTCAGCCTTGTCAACTCTTGTCAGTTGTGTCCTATTTGTCTCATTTTTCTTTCCTTCTCTCCCTCCCTTTCTGCCCTTTTATTAAACTCTCTCTCTCTCTCTCTCTCTCTCTCTCTCTCTCTCTCTCTCTCTGCCTCTATCTATCTATCTCTCTCTCTCTCAAAGACAATGATTTTTCTGCCAAGCCTTTGGTCTTGGCATTGGCCCCCAACAGTCTGATCTCTGTCCCCTACAAGGTGATAGGTTCCACTTTCTGTGGCTGCCTTGGGGTGCAGCTCTGCAGGTGGGTCTGTTATTAGGGTGGTAGACGGGTCCACTGCCTTCCCGTGGCCTGTGGGGTTGACTAGAAGCCTGGTCACATGGTCGGGCCCTGTGCCTCTCTCTCTGTGCAAGCTGTCCCTGCTTGCCCCGGATCCTGATCACCCCCTGCCTGGGGGTTCCCCACCGCCGTCCTTCACGACAAGCAGTGGCTGCGATGGTGAGGGCAGACCAGTCTACGCCACCAAGCCCCGGGGTGGACACTGGGTCTGGCTGGATGCTGGTCCAAGACCTCAGCAAGCCTCCTGGCCCCACCTGGCTCCTCTGGGCTCCCACACTTCCCGGGGCTCCCCCAAGAGGGCCTGCCCCTGGCACACACTGCTGGCTCCTGTACCCAAGCTGCCGGCAGTGCTGTGAGCAGACTGAGCTGTACCATGGCCTTTCCTTAGGGTTCCTTACGTCCACCGTTGCTGCTGTTCCCCATGTGTGTGCTCAACTTGCAGATGGTGAGCTGCACATAGTGGGTGCACACCCAGCCCCTACAGAGAGCAAAACTACCCAGTCTCTAATGGACGGTCAAGGCACCACCTCAGTCGTTAGCTCCGAGTGCCATGAGAGACAGAGCCACAGACCTACTGTCTGACCAGCGTTTCAACTTGTGTGAATCTTAAGGTGTTCAGGACTAAAAAAAAAATGTGTAGCTGCCTTAAACACTGTTCTGCATTCACCTGGCAGGTGATTCGCCCCCCATGGGCTGCCATGACCGAAGGCCTCCAGGACCCTCTTTCTGAGAGGCAAGAGAGGCCCGGGAACCCTCTTCACCACCTGTACCCTCGTCTCTCTGTGCTGCTTCTTGCCTGCTACAGGAGTACAAAGGAGGTTAAAAAGAAAACACTTGATCCAAGACCAAGGGGCTCTGTCTGCTTTTCCCCAGTTTGGACAAGACTGTGGGGTTCTAATCCAGCCCCTGGAGAACCTTCTTTCCCTCTTTCTTTGCCTTTTGGATGTTCTTGGGTGAAGGTGTGATTTTTTCAGCAGTCACCCTGAAACCACACAGAGAGACACTGAACCTAACAGGGCAGAGAGAGAAGTGTGGGCGCCTATTTTAAGATTCTGGCTCTGTAACCAGAGACCCAACCTCATACTTCTAGACCAGTGGCTTTGAGATAAAACTATTGTTTCAGCCATTAATATTTAGGCAGGCTGTTATCTGAAACACCATGGTTTGAATAGGTGATATCACCCAAAAGGTCATGCGGGAGGCTGTGCGGGAAGGTTGAGAGGTGAGATGATTGGGTTGGGAGAGTCTTAAACTAATCAGTGCATTAATCCCCGATGGGGAGTGGCCAGGTGGTGGCTGTGGGCAGGCAGGGTGTGGCTGGAGGAGGCAGGTCACTGGGGCATGCCTGTGGGGTTTATATTTGCTCCCGGGTGAGCAGAACTTTCCCCCACCCTCTGCTTCCTGGAGGCCAAGTCCTGAGCTGCTTTCCTCCTTGACTCCCTGACACCATGATGTTCAGCCTCACCTGGGGCCCAGAGCACGGAGCTGGCCATTTATGGATTGAGACTCTGAAACCACGAGCCATTGATGAACATTTCCTCCTCTAAATTCTTCTCGTCAGGTCTTTCAGTCACAGCAATGAGAGCCTGACTAACCTACGGAGGGACCAGTAGCTACAGTACCTGACATGACTCTCCCTCCACCCCTGGAATATCCTGGAACTGCCTTCACACAGTTAAAAAAGTTAGACACTTCCCTCGTGTTTCTAGCTCCCAGGTAGCGCTGCCCGCGGTGCATTGTCCTGGCTCTGGGAATAACGAGAAGGGTTGGACGTGATTTATTAGTTATGACGAGGACAGTCCTGTTGCACTTCACAGTTTTGATCGGTAGGAGCTTAAGCTTTCTGAGATCACCCATCTATTGCAGGAATCAGGAAAAGTGTCGGAAGGAATCCAGCTGTCCTGTCCCGTCAACAGATGGCCGCCCGGACTGGAAGGCCGCAGCCATGTCAGGCCATGGGGAAGGACCCGGGGAGCGGAGGGGGCAGTTTTCTTGCTGGTGAGGCAGCCAGTTAATTGGAGGAACTTGGCAAAGACACCCAGAACCACAGAGCAAGACAGACGCCCGCCGAGAGATGGACCAAGACGGGGCGACGGGATAATGAGATCCGCTGTCTGTACTGGGCGCTGGGCAGTGCATCTCCACTTACTGAGGGAGAAGGGAAAACCACAAAAACAGAACAAAAATGGTCCCCGTTCCATCTTCCCCTCCTCCTGGGTTCTTACATGTTTCTGCCTCCCTCTGCTCTCTCTCCTCACTCTGGAATCTATTTAAAAATACATTTCTCTAAGGAAATAAAAGCACACCATTTTCTCCTCCAAGTTTTCTGTTCTAGTTTTACCCGAATGTCCAAGTGCCAGTAAGGAGTGTGGTCCTTTTAACAGAGGAAGTGTGTCACATCCAGTCTTGCTGTGGGGAGAACCAGCCAAGGGGCTGTCAGAGCTGAACAGAAATCAACAGTGACCCTCAGAAGACCACCCTGGCCCCTCCCCAAGGAGGGGAGCAACAGCAAGCTTACAGCACAGAAGAGGGTTATCGTGTACTTTTGATTACGAGAAAAAGGGGGCAAGTGGCAGGAGAGGCCAAGTAGGTACTAGTTACCCAGGTGAAGCTAAGTAGATACTAGGTACCTAGGAGAGACTAAGCAGGTACTAGTACCCAGGGGAGACTAAGTAGGTACTAGGCACTCTGGGGAAGCTATGTAGGTACCAGGTATCTGGGGGAAGCTAAGCAGGTACTAGGTACCCTGGGGAGACTCAGTAGGTACTAGGTACCTGAGGGAAGCTAAGTAGGTACTAGGTATGTGGGAGAGACTAAGAAGGTAGGAGGTACCCTGAGGAGACTAAGTAGGTACTAGGTACCACAGCAGACACCAAGTAGATACTAGGTATCCAACTCACCCTGTATACAGGTAAATAAAGCTTGAAATTGGCATCTGAATGCCTGAAGTCTTACAGTCACTTACAATTACGCAGAGAAATCCTGAAAGAATGCGTGCTTTGTAATGTCAAGGCAAACATGCAATGATCTTATCGCCCAGTCACATTAAGGAGACAGGTAAATTAAAGCTGTTACTACTTGGTAGTTCTAGGAGGAATCATTTAGTCATTTACAAAATCAAGGTGTAAGTGGCCACCCTGCGACAGGTGGGGAGCCCATGGACAGGCGCAAAGCAGCATTCAGACACTTCCCAGGCTCCCCGAGCCCCCCACCCCCAGCACTGCGCGTCTGCGTGGCTTCCTAGGCGCTATCTGAACCTGGAAAGAGCGAGGGCAGGCTTCACTGTCTTCAAGAGGCACATGGGCTACGATTCGGAAGGCTTTGAAAATCATT